ATACATGCGACATCACTGTAACAATGTAATATATACGTGAGAAAAGTATGACACATACTAAATAGACCAAGCAAGATAATGAAAGAAATATCCCGGATTTATTAAAAATTCTAATAAGTCCAGAAAAAATAAGTCCCGGTAGCCCCTCTTCGTACCTGGTTGCAAATAGAAAAATGGTTTTTCCGTTCATAACGGTACCTTTTTGTTTATACGATGTAATTTCCACATTATTTATGAGAACAAATACTGCGCAAACACGTTTAATTGTTTTTCTGATGAAGTAGATATTCTATGTAAAGAAACATTTGAATATGTTTAGAAAATCGACCAAGAACAACGGAAGAACAATTTCAGTGAGACAATATATAGATTTTCATTTTTTTTTCTAATTTATTCTACTTCCTGCATTATTTTTTATTTAAAAACTCAATGCATTGACTGTAAGAATGGTAGTTAGAATAAAAATGAATTTTCTTTGATAAATTGAGTGAAAGATCTGTAGAATAACACATCTTTTTGGTGCTTTTTTTGTCTGGCATGACGTTGCATTAAAACGTTTATCAACTTTTCTTAGTATATCATTATCTATAGGAGCCATTCCATGTAAGCCACAACCTAGAGTGCTCAATCGACCATCTACGGCATCTTTCATTTTTATATATGTGATAGAAGAAAGTGTTTAATGATGTTTGTCGAAAACCGCATCGAAAAATTTTGATTCATTGGGTTTTTATTGAGCTTCTACGAAAACTCACAAAATCCTAGATCATGAGAAAACCGTTCATTATTACGATTGTATCTCGAGAACAGCTCAACAGATCGAGCTGAAACTTTCTATGAACATTCATAGCTAATGATGCTATCATCAGAAAAAAATTCAAGCGAATTGCTTCTACCGTTGGTTTTCTGCAAATACACTTTGTGAAGGGGTCAAAATGCTAATTTTAGCTAGTTTTGGGATCCCATATCTGGCGACTACAGCATGACGGAGTCTTGAAACTTTTTTTGCAGAAAGATCTCAATGATATCTTATTTTGGTAAAAGTTTCAGCTTGCCTATGTAAAGCATTCGTTTGTAGCAATCTAAGAAAAGCCGAGATTTTCGTAAAAACCGCGATTTGGGACGTTGGCGGTCTCAAAAAATATACAACAGATAAGGAGTGGAGTACTTGATCCTGAAAGCCTCATCTTTGGCCTACAACTTGGTGCAAAAGTCGACGTGGGATCTCTATGGGAGCCCTGGCTATAGTGGCTGCGCGGCTACTCCTATACCAAACCAAGTAAATGACTTTTGACCCTGAATCTCAACAGCGATGAGGAAAACTATTTAGACAGGATATGTAGGTAACTTTTCACGGAGAAAACGATGGTGATAATATCAACTGTGCTAATATTCAAAATTTAGTGTGGGGGGAGGGGCTAGATAAAGAAACAAATGTTCATGGTTCAGAATATAGGATTTTTGTATAGTTTTGAAGGGAATGAATTTTAACAATGAACTATGTGTATTTGGAACAAGGAGGAAATACTTTTTTCGAACACTCAATATTACATTTTTCGTCAAGTGTATTGCATAAGGGGAAGAGTCAATAATTGGTGGTGCGATATCGAGAAAGAAAATTGACTGTTCCATTTTTCACTATATGTCACACAATATATTCTCTTGATGATGTGATTAAAATTAATCAAGCATGACGGAGGTGAGCAAGAGAAGAAAAAAATGATAAATAGAGAAGAGTTATGAACAACATTCATTTCTGTGTGTAATAATGTCTGATCAACAATCATACTGTCGTCCTGATCAAGGTGTACCACCTTATCTTCTCTGTCGAAAGGATCCTGATCCAAGTCTTTACAGCGATGGAGCTTCAAGAATTTTCGATGCCAATCTGTCAATGACATCAGCCAAGGACACTGATTATTTATCTGTGGCATTAAATTCGCACACAATCTCGTCTCTTAGCATTTGGTGAAATTATACTTACTCTTATACAACATCCAACTCTTTGACGAATATTAATTTGGAAAATAACTCAGGGTGTGTAACTGGCTCGATTATTGGTGTAACAGGAACAATTGGAAATACAAGTGGGCCTATTGATAGCTATGGTCATTCAAGTGCTAATTCGATTAGGGCTACTACTTATTGTAGTAAAAAGAAAAATCAAGGTATTGCCTATGGAGTACCAATTTCTAATGGTAATCTGAGCTTTCTACTCACTCTCGATAACAATAAGAATTACTGCAAGAATCCATACAATAATTATAATACTGATTCAAATGTCTTCACTAGTCCAGAGAATATGTTCACTCCATATGTTCCATATCTTAATGACAACGAAGAGGAAGGGAACGGCAAAACGCTTGGTTAGTTTATTTGTTATTAACTTTGTCAACTATTTTTCTGCTTCTTTTCAGAAACTATGATCATCAATGACGTCGAGGAACAAAGTGGTATCCGATTTTCTGAAGAGCCAGTGATTTCCATCAAATATGATCAATGCTACTTGTGGAGCAATAAAAGTGTAATTACGTGTGAATCATCATCACATCGTAAGAGTGTGGGTGAGTGTGGATGTTTCAATAGTCTTCACACACACGCCCACACCCACACCCCAGTCTTTCACAAGAAAAAAGACACAAATTATTAGAGAGATGAAATTTTCCTTTTCTTATCTATAGACGATTGAATAAATGAATATTTTTGGCTTTATTCTAACGTTCTAGACTGAATTGACTTGATCTTAAGTCCAGACAGGACTCTTTTAGTGCATTTTTATGCATAGATATTTATAAAGAATACTTATAGATACCAATAGGGGACTCTTTTTACGCAAACAGAAAGAATCAATTTTTTTCATAATACTAACACAACAGCACTCAAATGTACTCCGTAGTTATTCGATGCTACGTTGTACGCGAATTAAACATTGGTTCTTCGTGAAACAGATGTCATCTTTTAAATGACTGTCTTTTTGTTTAAAAGACTGACAACATGAAGTTTTAATATTGAATACTATTATCAGCCCAAGCAAAATGGTATAAGTCATGATGATATTAAACTTCTACTAGAAACTACAAATTAGAGGTGGAATCGACATTTAAAATCTGCCCAAAGCTCTTCGAAACATTATGCTGAAATTCAACATGAAAATCGAAATTCAACAATATAAATGTATTGATTGAATTTAAAAGGCTTCTTATTTTATAAAACTTACAATTGATCATAAAAAAACTAAGCATAATTTCAAAGTATGGCAATTTTATATGTGTTATCTATACAGGATTAATAATGCTCGAAAAATTGTATCCCCGTAAACGAGAAGAAAATCTATCAAAATTAAAAAGAATTCAGTAAAACTAATGAAATAACTCATGCATTGACTATATTGCTCTTATTCTTTTTATCAAATCAATACAAAAAGGTTTAGCATAGAAGCAATAGTACGAGGATAAGCTTTCTCTTACGAAATCAATTTAAATAAATCATAAAACATCATAGTATAAGTACAGGAAGATATCAAGCAAAGTTAATAAAAAGAAAGAAATCGAAAATAGATAGACTAAGAACAGGCATTATCGAACAGCAGAAATCTTTTATATTATAGACATTCCAATATTCCTGCTAATCCTTTCATTTGATAAACTCTTGAAAAATTATATTTATTTTTATGCTCATCTAACAATATAACTAGTTAATCCATGGCCATTTATCTAATTTATTGATTAATCATTAGCTGGACTGATTTAATAGGTATTCATGCACTTATCATCAATTGTATGTCTATATAACATAATAAATGGTTGCTTGCAAATTGCAAGTCTTGATTAAATATGTATGTACATTAAACTAAATTTTGACCAATCCACATTAGTGCAACTCTAAATCTTCCGTCTATTCAATGGAACAACTGTAAGAACTACCACCGGTTGTACTGGAACGTATGCTAGAATTATTGGATTGCTAACGTAGACATAAGGCCAGTAGGCATACATTTTGAAGAGATGCAAAGAATAAGTTTTTATTATTGCGAGTATTGTCTGATGTGAGTCTATTCTACTGTATTTATAGATAGTTTAAACGGACATGATGTAACAATGCAATTCAAAGTTTGCAATAGGTGCAAATTGAAAATTAGTAATATCGTTAGGAAGTCTTTTCATGAATATTAATTAAAATTTGAGTTAGTTGGAAATTTCCGTTATTACTAAAACATTTTTCAAATGTGAAGGCAATAAAAAGAGACATTGAAATTGATTGCTGTACAGTTTCTTCTGATCTAAATAGATTGATACTGTATGAGTAACGACAAGGAAGAAACTCGATATCTCACGGTTGATCAACTTTCTGCATCTTAATTAATTACATCTGTGATATATTGTGTTTTGCTGTTTCTTATCTTCTTCCTTTTAATAAGTCATGATTCTTCATTGATTTTGAAATGTGATTGCATCACTAATTTTGATTTTGTTTGGAATATATCTTTATAGACAGTCATTTGTTAATGCTACTAGAACATTGAATGTTTCTCGAATACATGAAGACAGAATGAAAAGAATCATAACACCGAATTGTGCTGTCTTCGGTGATGAGAAATGCTAATATGTAGTTTTGATGTATGAAGGACAGATGTACGAATGCCAGATAAAAGTCTGACGATGTTGAAAAGTATATCTGAGTATATGTTGATAGTCTTGAAAGTGAATGATTTGATTCAATTGAACAAAGAATTGTACACAGCTATGATAATTTGATATGAAATCATAAATAGGAAGGACACGTAGAGGCTGTGGGTGGGTATGGGTATGTCTCTTTTTTTCATTTACACCAACACTCACACGCTTTCTTCTCGTTACTCATACAATATCAATCTATTTAGATCGGAAGAAACTGTACAGCAATCAATATCAATGTCTCTTTTCATTGCCTTAACATTTGAAAAGGGTGTGGGTGTAGGGCGGGTGTGGGGTGGGTGGGTTGGGGTGGGGGTGGGTGTGGGAGGGTGTGTGGTGGTGGGGTGGGTGTGGT